GGTCAAGTGAATAAGCATAACGCGTCGCGTCGCCACGTCCGAATCATTACAGTACATATATCGCGACGCGAGTACGATAAGTAAAGTGTGATTGTAAATCAATACAAGTAGTGTTTGGTGAAAATAAATATATTTAATATAAGTGCTAACTGCTACATGCAAACGCTTATTTCTGATAAAACCGCTCCTCGAGTCCTTGGTGGATCCCGAACCGTGCCGTACAGCGGCACAACAGACCGCTTTTCAAAAAAATTTTGTCTTTACAGTTTTGTATCGTAACAAATATCACGTTGTTATATTTCTTAAAATTATGTAAATTTTAACAGTGCGCAGTTTGATAAAAAGTTTTTTTTCAATAAGTTCAATATTTTTGAAAAACAGTACAAAGATTTACCTCCAAAATGCGTCTTCAAAAATTTTCTTATGACTTTTCTTGACTGAAATACGCGTCATTGAAGTTAAACCTGCATAGCTCATAACCAACATTAAAATTCGGTGAAATATCATCACAAAAAATTAAGGAATTGTTTTGAAGCTCTAAGTTTGTACTTTAACAAGCTTCTAATTGTTTTTAAATTTAATTCTAAGAATTGAGAAGATAAAAAATTTTCGTGATGATTTTTTATCAAATTTTACTGTTGATTATATAGCAAATAAGTTTAACTTCGATGTTGCGTATGTTACGTCCAGCGAACACACGCTGCCTCCTTTCTCTTCCTCACGGAGATCTAGGGGTTATCAACCCCCTAAGACTTCTAGGAAAAGTAATAAAAATCTTTTCCCATGAGAAAGTTTAAAGTAAAGGACTCCAGTGTCTCCATTAACGCCAAATAAAATAGAGTTGGAATCGGTGAACGCAGGGAGCTAATGCACCACCGATGACACTTCCCTTGGACAGCGCCATTAAAAACGGCAATTAATGTCAGTACTGGCGCCTAAACATTTTTCTGACAAGCAAGTCGCGGACGATTCTCACGATGTTCGCGACCATAAAATATAAATGTGACATGCGAAGTCCAGGGAAAGTGTTTGACGGGTGCGTGCCGACAGTGCACGTGCGCTCGTCTTAATCGGTGCACGTGCATTTTCCCATAAATTTAAGAGAATCATAAATTAAGAAGACACTTGTTGATACCAACCGACTCCTTTCTTGCCCCATAATCTCGACCAATCCAAAATTCCGAAAGTCATCCCACCACCAAAATTTGAACCCCACTAACTAGGAAAAACCGTTATATAAACCACAGTTCCGCGGTCCTGAGCGTCTATTTGGTCTATTCTGTCTTTTTGGTCTTTTTTGGTCTGTTGGTCTTTTGCCTTTGGTCTCTTTTTTCTTTTGTCTTTTGGGGTTGTCTTGTCTTACCAATTGCTGAGGGTCTTGTTCCTAAAGTCGGTCGCAAGAGTTATTCCAAATTATTCAATTTATTCAAAACCGATCAAGTTCGAGTCTCGGGCGCACTCTGTTCGTTATTTGTTAAACATTAAATATTAGAGTCAGGTGATCCGACGCCCGAGGTCCCGACCACCAACATCGACCACGAATGTCTTGAAGCCCCTTCATCAGACTCCGCAAATCTCATCGAGCAGTAAGTCAATACCACCCTCTTCCCTTTTTTTTTCTTCTTATTGTTCTTTTTTTTTCTCTTTCTCCTCTCCGTATTAGAGCCTGTGTTCATTTTCGGTTTCCCCGTTCAGTTTTCTTTTATCCCTTCATTTCTTCGGTAACTGATTAGTTTTCTTTCACTTACCATTAAATAACGTTGCAGTGCGTTCTAACGGGTCCACCGCTCCTACACCTCCACGCCGTAGCGTGATATGTTTCGTCCGGTCGCGCCGAACCATTGTTAGAAGCAGGACTCGAGCCGCCCAGGAAGTTCGCCTCGCGGTTCCACCCTGCCTTTCTCACCCCTCGACGCCGGACACTTCAATCGAAACACTCGCGATACCCTCCCTCTTTTCTTCGCTTTCTCCTCCATTCGAAGTCTCCTACTCACCTGCACCCTCCCTACCTATCTCCCCTAATGAGACTCCCGCTCCACAACCCAGCTTCTCATTCCGACTTCGATCCCGAATTGCTGACCCTCCCTGATCAACCTACTCCTTTCCCATCTCAAACTTTCCATTATGTTACCTCCATAGAAGACCTCCTCGACTTTTGGGTGACCGCCCCTCCCAACAGCTCCCAACCTGTAATAGTATACCTAGAAAATTGCCCACATCCTTTTATCATCCCAAAATTTATCAGCCAAAAATCTGACTCCTTTCTTCGAATATTCACTTCCTCCTTAAATCCAAATTATTCCACACACACGCACACAACTATATTATTATTGAAATATATATATGAGGTGTGATAAAAAAGTAAGGTGACTTTTCATTTTTATAAAAAAATATTCATTTATTCATCCAAAATTATGTTATCCCCTTCAAAATAATCCCCCTCTGATACAATGCA